TATGTACAAAGATTGCCAAGGGATAAACCTGCCGACCCCAACAACGTAAGCTTTCCACACTCTTTTTCCACTCTCTTCGTATCTAAAGTTGTGCAACTCATTGTTTTATGTTCTGAACCTCAAGAATTTTGGATGACTCATCCAAAACGGCTACAGCCGCTGTTGTCCTTTGACAGGCCGTTCCTTAAGCGCCTCGTGCATTCCTCCTACGTTTATGATGTCATGGCCTTCCGCGCAATACTTTCTTATTGCTGCTTTCATGGGACAAAGCATCCTGTCACAAACAACCTTTCGTTGCTGGGGTTCTGAAAAATCATAACGTGCAACTGTAATTCCCACTCGATCTCCAATATCTTTGACTGCTGCTGATTGCAATGGTAGCAGCCAGCCTCGTCAGCACGTAGAAATGCCTGCTTAACATTTGGAAAATTTACTTTGATGTTTTGAAAAAGGTTTTCTAACCGCATACCAATCTTGACAACACGAATCTAATAAATAGGCATACGACATGAGGGCCTTAGCTTTCTGAGTTTCTTGGTCTTTTGAGATCACACTGCTTATATGCTAGCTAAGGCCTCTTTTAGCAAACCATTCAATTTGTTTTTCTCTGTATTTCATTTGAAGAAATTTCATCGCCCAGTCAATAACAACAAGGACTGACTGGAGGGCTTCTTGTTTAGCAGATTTTTGGTTAACAGAGCGTAAGACATGAGATATCCAACGAAAAATGCCATTCTTAGATCTTTCAAAATCGTAAAGAAGATCATGCTTTTGTTCTTGGCTGTAAAGATGCATGGCTAAAGTGTTTCTTTATACTTTCTTCCATCTCGTCCAACGTTGCCTTTAATTGTTCGCATTGTTCACATACCATATTGTGTGTGTGGACTGATGGTTGAAGCATGGATCAACTGGATCGCTTGACGCAAATTTTCCGCAGTGGTCTGGGCACTCACTCTCCTCTGCTGAACAGCTCACTTTAAACTCCGTCTTCAGTTATCTTTTGCCATCGTTCAATCTCTTTGCCAGTTCTCTAACTCTTCTTTTGTCTGCACGAGCCTGATTCAGCTCTTCCAGAATACTCAATAGCCGCTCAAAAGATGCGACCCCTTCTACTGCAATGTTGTCAAGACCACTGAGAGACTTCTGCTGTGAAGCCTCTCTCACTTCAAGCTGAGAATGCGGAAAAAGGGTTGAACGGCTAGCCGGTTCAAATTATTCTTCTTTGCAATGTTGAAGGTACTACATAATCATGGTCGATCTAGTCACGCTCCGGATTACGTTTGGCATCGTTATTTTGCGTCCCCCATCTAAGGTCAGTGTTCGCGTTCCAAAGGCGACGTCTTGGTAAAAATAAGGACGGTTTGCAAAATCTGTAAAGTGGTCGACTTCCTTGTGTCCAGACGTACTCGATGGCTGAATACTT